ATGTTAGTTAAATTTGTATATAATTGATTGATGATATTTTAGTTAAATTTGATCTTAGTGTAGAATGATAACATGTAAGTATAGCATGAAATACAAGACTTGTAAGTATAGTATGTTAATCTGAAAGTATATCACGTTATACTGTTAGTATAGCATGTTATACTGTAAGTATAGCACATTATACGTGCTATACTTACTGGTTAAGGTGCTATACTTACAGGTTAACGTGCTATACTTCCTGATAGCGTGCTATACTTATAGGATAACATGCTATACTTCCTGAATAACGTGCTATACTTATAGGATAACGTACTATACTTACATGATAATGTGCTATGCTTACTGAATAATGTGTTATACTTACATGTTAACGTGTTATACTTACTAACTAACGTGCTATACTTACAAGTTAACGTGCTATACTTACTGAATAACATGTTATACTTATAGGTTAACGTGCTATACTTAGATGATAACGTGTTATACTTTCATGATAACGTGTTATACTTACAATATAACATGCTATACTTACATGATAACGTGCTATACTTACAATATAACATGTTATACTTACAGGTTAATGTGCTATACTTACATGATAACGTGTTATACTTTCATGATAACGTGTTATACTTACAATATAACATGCTATACTTACATGATAACGTGCTATACTTACAATATAACATGTTATACTTACAGGTTAATGTGCTATACTTACAGTATAATGTGCTATACTTACAGTATTAATGTGCTATACTTACAGTATAACATGCTCTACTTATATTAATATGCTATACTTATAAGTCTGGTAATTCATGCTATACTTACATGTTATCATTCTATACTAAGATCAAATTTAACAAAAATTTCATCAATTATAACAAATTTAACTAATATTTAACTAATTGTTATGAATTCATAACAATAACATTTTACTAAAAATAATTATGTGAAATAACATTATGTGAAATAACTAATTATGTGAAATAATAATGTGAAATAAGAAGTGCAAAATAATTATGTGAAATAACTAATGTGAAATTAATGGGTGGTTAATTACAAAACCTCAGTTATCTAACATTTTACTAAAAATAACGAATTAAAATTTTTTTTATGAACTCATTTAACTAACTTATCAAATAATTGTCATGGTTGAAATGAGAAATTAATGCTAACAACTTGGTAGTTGAGTAAATTGCAAATTTCTACCTTCAAATGCCCAGAAAGTTGGTGAGAATTAATTGATGGGTTGTAGGAGAGAGTGATTAAATGATGGGTTATAGGAGAGAGTGTTGAGTTCTATTAATGGAGTGAGATAAAGGGAGAAGAAGAGGGGGGCAGAGAGAGGACGGAGAGAGAATGGAGGGGGGAAATTTACCGCCAGTTTCCCCCCTCTCTCTCCATTTCGTTTATTTTATTTAAGGGGGACCCACTTAAATGAATTCTATAAGTGGGAGGGTATAACCGGAATTTAAGAAAAATATATGGGGGGACCCACTGCTGAAAGTATTGTATTTTGGATTTGGATTTAAAGACAAATACAAAAAGAAATTTGGGCTTAGAGATACAACTAATACTACTTGGGTTTAAAAATAAAGGGAGGTAAACTATTGGACCTAAAGACAAAAAGCCCTAATTTAAATGCAATCCACCACTATAATAGAAATCAGAAGGATCTAAAATCAATCAGTAATCTAGGTCATACAGCTATCCATCCTATAATAGCTCACTAGTCCACATCTCACATAGAGTCAACGTTCATATCATCGGATAACTGACTGTTCACAAATCCCTTACGTGCATCCAATCCCACTACACATGCGGCCAAAGGACTACATGCAATCCGATTCCGGCCTAATCCAAACTCAAACCAACTCGAGTGAAGAAATAAATTCACGAACCAAAGTAGCGACACTGATCCACTTTGGCCCAACAAACCAACCCCAGTGGTGACACCGATCCATTAGTGCGAGTCTGGAAGATATATCAACAACTATATCCAATCACATGAACAAAGACTTTCCCACCCAGCTCTTCTTGCTTTTCTAAGTCAACAAACATGGCTTACAATAAATCTCTGGTCCACCTTCTAGATTCAGTCAACACACACACACATGTCACTAAGTCTTGTTCACGACGCACAAAGCCACTAAGTCATGAACTACTAATGGTTCTCAATCACAACAAAAAATAGTAAATAAATACAACCAATCATGTGCAACGATATCATGACATGTCAAAATAATTACATATAAGAACTGTAAATTATAAGCAGCATCCATGTAATTCAGAAATAATCTTTTCCAAAATAATTTATTTTAAATTATTATAATTTTTCTAAACTAATTCTTTTTAGAAAATAAATTCTTTTAAAATTATTTATCGTAGTAATTATTCTAAAATACTCTTTAAAAAATATTTTTTGTATGAACAGTAATCATTTCTATTTTTAAAAATATTTCTTATCATTTAATATCATTCATCAATATTCCACGCAGGTTATCACAATATTCACATAACGACTAATCTATGCACGTACTTAATTAACAGTATATCAAAAATTATAAAGACGAGTCAATGAACAATGGGATCTTGCCTCGGGCAATGGGCCTGTGGCGGGGGAGATCGGTGGCGCTGGACTCGGCTAATCGGGGGCGTTGAGGATTCGAGCTTGTGGTGGGGTGGTGACGGGGAGGACGGCAGTGGCAAATGGCATCGACTCGGGAAGCAGAGGGTTGCCTGACGAGGTGGTGGTGTGCGAGGGCTGGGAGACGTAGGCCTAGCCGTGGTCGGTGAGGGTGATGTGGCGGCGCTGAAAGGCGTTGATGAGCGGCGTGTCAAAGATGCTGGTCGGAGGCGACAGCGACGGGGCAGAGCGGCGATTTGGAGTTTAGAGGTGGTGCGGATCAAGAGGAGGGCGGCCGTCGAGGGTGGTCCGGGCGGGCAGAGGAGCACAAGTGGGTTCAGCTTGGATCTAGTGTGATTTGGTCGAAGGGTTTATTGAGAAAGTGATGGGGAGTAGAGCAGAGGTGGAAGGGACGTGGTTGATGGGAAGGCGACTGGGGAGTAGGCGGTGGTGGCTGATGTCGGAGAAAGACGGCAGGGAGGGCCGCGCGTTGGCTGGTCAGAGCTGGCTGAGGAGGCGCAGAGAGAGGGGGTTTTGAGAGGAGGATGGGGTGGACGGGGGCCAGCGACTCGCGCTTGGGCGAGAGTTGGAAGAGGAGATGGTGTCAGGGCTCGCTGGTGGCTGCAGGGGGTGGGCGGAGTGAAGAGCTGGCGACTAAAGGTGGCTGTCGGCTCGATGAATGAAGAAGAAGGGGGAGGAGAGGCGTGGAAGACACGGAAGAGGACGAAGAGAGAGAGAGAAAAAGTGGAGAGCGGCGGTTTCACGTGAATAGAAGAAGGAAAAAAGAAAAGAAAAAATGTATATATCGGAGTTAGGGTTAGGGTCTTAATGTAATTTTAAATATAATTAATAATTAAGTAAGTATTAAATTAAATAATTATGGAAAAATTATTTACAAAATAATACGTATAGGTAACATTAACACAACAGATTATAAAAAAAAAAAAAACGAAATAGTAATAATAATCACACAACGGATTATACAAAATAATACGTAATAGTAACGATAACATTACGAATTAATTTTAGAAGATTTTACTGCACCAAGTTAATTTATAATATCAAAAATCATTGAAGTAAATATAAAATTTGGACTTTTAAATCGTATAAAATTCTAGAAAATATAAATACTCTTATAAAAATAATAAGTGAATATTTTAAAATATCAGAAAAATTATTTAACTAGTATCGAAAGTTCATGGTCATTACACACCCTTTGCTCTATATGTGTCGGTTGGCGACTGGAGGGGAAGTCACTTCGCATAGGGGAGGGTGTCTCCGTATTTTTTGGGAAGTGATTGAGAGTGTGGTAGAAGGCACGTGGACATACTGAATCATCCCTTGCTTTACATGTGTCGGCTGGCGACTGGAGGGGAAATCACTTCGGCATGGGAGATGGTGTCTCCGCATTTTTGGGGAAGTGATTGATAAGTCATAGAGGTATGTGGCGCAGTTGTCAAGTCATGGAGACCATTAGGCTAAAATCTGGATAAGGTTTGTCCGATATGAAGTGAAATGTTGACATATGTCCTGGGGGAGAGGCTTGAGCCCCGGGCCGAGTCCTTAACTTAGCCGACAATAGGGGATGTCCCTCAAGTCGTCTCCGAGAATTACCCAATGAGTGGTCGAGTGCCCTAAGTGGGTCGTCCTCGGTGATAGACTGATCCCGCTTTTCGTGTTGGCATGAAAGAAGGTCGGCTTGATGAGTCGGCGGGGTCGAGGCCTCTGTTAGGCTTGGGCCACTTAAGTGGGTTTAAGGTTATTTTGCTAGGACTCTTATTGTATCATTTTGCAAATGCCCGTATATTGGGTGAGTGAACACCATAACATATTTTTTTATTTAAATATGAGAATATTATCTTAAACATTTTCACATGACAGTCACAAGCTAATATAAAAATATTTTCTATTTAATATTTAGTAAATTTAATGTTAAATTCAAAATAATTTTTTTAAAATTATAATTAGATATAAAATTAGTTTCTGAATGCCACATTAGAATGTTAAGAGAACTATTCTTACATTTGTAAAACAGAAAGTATTAATAAATTCAAAAATTTTAGAAACTTCAGAGTGTATAGTTGCTACCAAGATCAGTGAAATTATGTAAGTGCAAAATAGGAGAAACTACAAGGTACTAAAGTGCTAACGAGAGAAGCTACAAGGTACTAAAGTGCTAACGAGAGCAGGATAACATTCAAGTAAGCTGTAAGCGTATATAAGTGCAAATAAGGACGGGGTTTGACTAAAATTATCTCGGGATCCAAATTTAGCAATTTGCAACTAAACTACAATTAAATTGCGCCACAAGCTATTCATAAAATAAATATAAAACCCCACCGTCTATTTTATGAGCTGCTGGATAGAAAGGGCACACCGAGAGAGAGAGAGAGAGAGGGATGGAAATAAATTAGTCAAACCAAATAGAACCCCATCTCTCTCCTTTCTCTCTCTCTGTCTCGCGAAATAATTTCTCCATCAATTTTTTTTCTTCCTATTTTCCCTTTATTTTTCTCATAATTATCCTGCTGGTGCTGTTGTTGATCGATTTCCAAGTGTCAGTGGATCGAGACTACCGAGCTCCATTCTCTGCTTGGCTCTGCTCTCAGATTCTTAGTTCAGTCGAAACCCTAACCCTCGAATTAGATCGAAAAGGGGTTTATTGCAGTAAAAAAAAACCGCTGCTTCTAACTTTGTTTGATTCAGTAACCCTAACCTAGGTTAGATGAGGGGGATCGAGGAAGATGGCGGGGGCTTTGGGAACCCTAATCCCGCCGTTGGTAAGGAATTAGGGGTTAGCAGCGGAGGTGAGCTTGTCCTCTTTATTCCTTTTTTTTAAAAGGAATTATGCGTGTTGGTTGTTTCTTGATCAGTGGATCTTGTGCTGTTTGTGCTTTGATAAGAACAGTGGATTTATTGCGAATTTACTGTTGGATCGAGCTGTTTGATCTCAAGTTAGTGAGAGTTTCATGGAGTTTGGATGATTAGTGACAATATGGGATGATTTTGTGTGATTATAAAGACGATTTTATATTTTGAGAGGTGTTTGATCTGGGTTGACTTCTTTTTCTTTAATTTTAACTTGGATGTTTTCTTGCATGGCTAAATAATCCTGTTTAATGCGGCAACAATAGTCTTGATATTGCCGGTATTATTTGTGTTTTCTTCCCCGTGCTTTACCATTATATCTTAATCCACAAGCTTGGTGCAACTGCAACTTAGATTAACATAGTACTTGGAGTTTTTTTAAAATATTTTCATATATAAGTGGAACTTGAAATAATATTTTGAGTCCTAGGTATTTTTTATGGAGTTTAATATGGTAGATTAGTTTATCTTGTTATGTTGTCTTAAGGTTTATTATGAAGCTTCATACCTAATGTTTAAGTATCTACATTAGTAGTGTATTCTCATATTGATGCATTTGGGCGTAGACTGTGCTTTTTGGTAATGTAATTTGGCTTGTGGGTGTTATGCAGATAATGCTTTCTTTGATGCTTCACAATATGCATTTTTTGGTGGTAAAAGTATTCTGGAGGAAGTCGAGTTAGGAGGATTAGATGATGACGAAGATGGTAATGGCTCTGGACTCGTTGGGCCTTATGACGAGGAATATCATTTTCCCTCTATTGAAGATAGGGAGGAGGTAAAAGATGTTTTTATCAAATCCACACCTTGTTGCTCTATTTTTCTAAACCTTAAAATTGCTGTTGTCATTATTTGTAAAGTCTCTGTTATTGTACTTTGAATGTAGTCGTTATCTCTCCTCTTCGGCATATTTTCTTCAAAATAATTTGTATTACCATTGTATTTTTTCTGATACATAACAAACAGTGATGTAAAACACCGATTATGCGGCTGCATAATTCGTTAATGCACAGCCTATATAATATTCGCCAAATATATGTCACGACTTCATAATTGTTGAATTTACAACCTACCTGAATCTCTCGAAATATGTTATAGTTCACATATGCCCTCCCTCTTTTCTCTTACAGTCTATAATAACTACCTAAATGGGAGGTTAGTAGCTTTAGGAGGAACTTCTGCCTATGGATATCTAGTATTCCAATCTCTTGACTACTATTTCATGATCCAACCATTCATTTATGATAGTTCAGGGGCTAAAACACGTGTATCAAAGATCATGTGATCTAGGCTTTATTTGCCTCTGAATCTAATGTTTACATTCCATTATATGGATGATCACCATTTGTCTTGTGACTACTTAAATGTATGGGTAGAAAGCATTAATAACTCATGATCTTTTCTCTAAATATGTTTCCTAAGGCATTGGAGATTACTTTGGGTGGTATTGATTGTGTGTGTTTCATGCTGGAAACTCCTATACTATCAGTAGAGATTTTGTCATGTCTTCTTCCATTCTCTCCTTTGCTGTCCTTTCTTCCTGAATACTGCATCCTGTTTGATTATTGTGCAAAATATACTGTTCTTCTTGCATAATTTTTGGTTTTATTGGTAAATCTAACTTCTCAAGGTGCTGCTACTTCAGATGTTGTTATTTCATATGCTTAGTAATACTTGATAACATATGCACTATGCACTATGCAGTTACATATAGCTACATCTAGCTTGTCACACTTTCTTTGCGTAGTTAATCTTCTCGGTTCTGAAAAAAGGTTCATATTCTTGTGACATGTCTATTAAAATCAAAATTTTTATGGTCATGCGAGGCATGTCCAAGAGTTGCAAAAAATGGCTGAAACATAGCATCTGAACTCTCTTCTTTTATCGTTTTTGGTATGTTCCAGCACTTATTGTTTCTAATTTTCAAGTCCAAGAGTTACAGAAAATGGCTGAAACATGGCATTTGAACTCTCTTCTTTTATTTGGTATGTTCCAGCATTTATTGTTTCTAATTTTCAAGCAGTTACTCTGCCAAAGGCTATTTAGGCCTTTGCTTTCCTTGCCCTGTTGCTTCTGCACCTGATGCACTAGTTTTGATCTTGTCCTTCGATGTTGCTTATGTCTGGAGCATATTTGTTATTGGCTGTATTTCTAGATTCTTTTCCTTTCTAGTAGTTTTTAGATTGACATGTTCTACTGTCTAAAGGTTCTTATTCTCATCTAGGTTGAAGAACTTTAGTATTTGTTATGGATTCTTACATGTGATAGATGATATCATGGTATCTATTTCTAAGCATTTGATGAATGTTCTTAATATAAACCATTTTGTTACTCTTGCAGGAGGAGATTCTAGGATCACTATCTGATATCGATGACCTCGCAAGCACTTTTGCAAAGGTTTGTTTTTTTTCTGTGCGTTAAGACATAATTTGGAATTATGTGGATATTGGCCCTCCTTCCTAATTTTCATCATTGTGTTGTTACAAAATCACAACAGATTACTATATGTTTTGCTTTGTTCTTTGTATTGTATTTATCTATTCAACGGATGTTTGTGCATGTTTCATTTATCCTTTCATTATGTTCAATTGGTTCAACATTGAATTTTTAAATTTGCACTCTTCAATTTTCTACTTTAGGAGGATGGTTCTTAAGGAAATACACTAATTCTGTTTGTGTTGTTGGAACTAGGATCCCCCCTCTTTTTTCCCCAATTACACGTGGTCTTATTAAGAACGTTTTAGGCTAATGTTGTGGTGCACTCAGCTAGTCTGCACCAATGCCAAATTGTTAGTCTCATTCCATGCTTTGGAGATTTATTTTGATAATTATTTGGTGGGGGACATAGTTCATTTGTCTGGTTGTGTTTCGGCCCACTCTTGAAAATTTTGGGCAATGTTATGGAGCTTGACAGGTGAAAAAAAAAATAAAAATCTTAATTCTGAGCCTTGTTAAAAGTGCAAACTTTATGCATACGTCATGTTGCTAGATATTTTACTAATCATATGATGTACGACAGTACCCTATACTACAGCATCTGACTAGTCCCATCAGAGGTGTGTTTTTGGTCCAAGTTATGTGGTTTGCCGGCTTTTTTTAACGAGATCTTAGTTATTTTTTTTGGTGAACCATATTGATGGATATGGGGACAATCTATCAAAATTGATAGGTTGATCAGTTGATTCTTTGATTTGTCAATATTCCTATCTGCAACAAGGGATATCATTTATGCTACTAAACTGGTGTCAGCTAGTTGCTTAGCAACTTATATAAAAAAGCTTGCTGCCTTTTACCTGTTTAAACACACGATCATGGTCAGCCAAACTTGATGGGAAGAGAGAATGATTTCTAGTGGCTGGTTTTATACTTAGGATCTTTGGATTTTGCACACTGTTTACATTCAAGATTTTTGGTTTATATGACCTTGACTTGATAGTCTTTAGGCTTTACTTTTTTGATTACAGTCATGGAGTTTTTTAATGGACTTCTGCAGAAGTGGAGTAGAGGACTTTTGTTTTTGGTCATAATAGCTTGTTCTTATGTTGTCGAGAGTGAATTTGGAATGCTTTTTCTTAGGAAATAGCTTTTTATCTGATTTTTTTAATCTCCGAGAGATGTGCTCACTTGGTACAAAACTCTGCTGGTGCAGGTTTGTCTTTGGTCATAATAGCTTGTTCTTATGTTGTCAAGAGTGAATTTGAAATGCTTTTCCTTAGTAAATAGCTTTTTATCAGATTTTTCTTGATCTCCAAGAGACGTGTTCACTTGGTACAAAACTCTACTGGTGCAGGTTTAAGTGCACCATATCATGGCCAAAGCAATACCCAGGTTTTAAGGTTTGAATTCAATAATGCTAACCTAGGTAGCACTGATATGGGTGCGGACACGGACACGGAAACGGACATGGGACACGACAAATTTGTAAACGGGGACACGACTATGTGTTTGTGTAGATATACACACACATACATACATATATGTACACACACGCGCGCACACACACACACATACATATGTATATGTATACATATACATATATGTGTACGCACACATATATATGAGCAATATGGAGGAACTTCGCACAAAGCATAAGTTTTTGTGCTTGGTAGTGAGGTGGTTCATTCTCATCCACTCATTCAAATGGGGGACCACATTCACATGGGTTGGAAAGTGGATGGGAGTGAGTCACCTCACTACCAAGCACAAAATTTATGTTTGTTACCAAGTTCCTACATTTCTCTATATATACGTGTATGCGCGCGTGCGTGTGTATATATATGTGTGTGTATATATATGCACATGCATACACACACATATGTGCGTGTGTATACACACACATATATATGTGTGTGCGCGCGCGTGTGTGCGCGCACATATGTGTGTGTATATATAGATACATGTATGTATATGTATGCTATATACATATATACATATACATATACATTTGTATACACATATATATACACGCGCACGCGTAGATCAAATATTGAATTAAATACATATAACATTTGTATGTTTCTTTTTATTATCTATAACAAGTAAGAATGAAGTTAAATCAGACTAAGAATAGGGTTTAACAGCAAACATTTAGTTTTGATCATATGGGATAACATGATGAATATTTTTTAAATATTTAAGGCTTCGTTTGAATACTATGGTGTTTTACTTGTTTCCATGGTGTTTTTGCCAAAAACAAAATACCATGCGTTTAGAAATCATGGTATTTTTTGAGTTAAATCATCCTCAAACCAAAAACACAACACTTATTTCGAAACACCTTTTAGTGTTTTAAGTTTGGTGTTTTGGTTTTGAGTTTGAGAATGTGTTAATATAATATCTAACATAATATATTACATGTAATTAATATAGAGTTATTATCAACATGCTTATTATATTATACTATACTATATTATAGTTAATTTAATATTTTAGTAATATTTATTAAATAATATAAAAATATAATAAATAAAATATCTTATAGAATAATATAATAACATATTAAATACCAATATTTAATATGTTAATAATGTATTATATAATAAATAAACTAATAAAAAATAATAAAAAAGTTATTGATAATAAATAATAATATAATAATATACTATATAATAGTATAATCGCTATAATCATTATTACTTTTAATAAATAAATTTGTATAAATTAATAATTATAAAAAATTATATAATAGTAACATATATTTAATAATAATAGAACAATATAATAATAATATTTATAACAACATATTGTATAGAAATGCAATATAAATATATAAAATATTAATATATTATGTAATAAATAATATAATTTATTATAAAGTAAAATAATTATTAATAATTAATAATTTATTGTAAACAAATGGTAATGTAAAAATAATACATTCATAATATAATAATATTTATTTATATCATAAATCTAATATATTATTAAAGTACTATTAATAAAACTCTTAACATATTAAAAACTATAATATATTATATAATATTAAAATATTTATAATATCATTTAATTTATTAATAACATACTAGTAATAACATAATATTAACATTATTAATAATATTATATTATATGAATAATAGTATAATATTAAATTATATTATTAATAGTATAATATTATATTAATAATAAAATAACATTATTATAAAAATATTAATATAATATACAACAATAACAAATTGATATACCAAAATAATTACATATATAATTATTTGAAAATAATATATAATTATTATAATATAATAATTGTTTAAAGCAAGTACATAGGCCAAAGGCCTATGATATATATTTATACTAATCAATGTGAATAGGTTGAGTACCCAAGAGTCACCCTCACTTAATGGGGTGTTACATCACCATAATGGGGTGTGAATGGAGGGATAATGAGGGGGAGGCCAAATGCCTCCCTCATCTCATAATACTCCCCCTTATCCATCCATTACCTTGGGTTTAGCTTATGAACACTTCAGGGTTCGTAAAGCTAATGGGGTGGATACTTCTGGATCCAGAGTAAACTTGTTTGCCTCGTTAAAACCTTAGCTGTGGAAAACCCAGTGGGAAAAAACCATCAGCCTAAGGAAAAAGAGTACAACCCATAGGTTACTCCCCCTGAACCATACAAGCTTCAAGCTTGTAGGTCTTTCAGATGACTCATCCCTATTCTTTTTACAAGTTTTACAAAAGTACATCTAGGCAGAGCCTTAGTGAACAAGTCAGCTAAATTATTACATGATTGGATCTGCTGTACTTTAACTTGCTCCTCCTCTTGAAGATCGTGCGTCCAGAAAAACTTGGGAGATATGTGCTTCGTCTTGTCACCCTTGATGAAGCCAGACTGAAGTTGAGCAACGCAGGCTGCATTGTCTTCAAATATAGTAGTTGGCTCAAGGTCACCAGTCTTCAGGCCGGTAGACACTAAGATGTGCTGAATGACAGAACGAAGCCAAACACATTCTTTGCTGGTTTCATGGATCGCGAGGAGTTCGGAATGGTTGGATGAGATTGCTACAGTGGTTTGCTTGACAGACCTCCAGGAGATGGCCGTACCACCGAATGTAAACACAAATCCGGTTTGTGATTTCTCGGTGTGGGGATCAGACCTGTAACCTGCATCTGAATAACCAATTAAGGTGGGAGACCCACCCTTCGGGAAATATAATCCCAGGTCTATAGACCCTTGGAGGTAGCGCAGAAGATGCTTAACTCCATTCCAGTGGCGTTTTGTGGGCGCTGCACTGTATCTGGCTAGTAGGTTAACTGAAAACGTTATATCGGGACGCGTACAGTTAGCCAGATATAGTAGTGCTCCAATGGCACTGAGGTAAGGTACTTCAGGACCTAGCATTTTCTCCTCCTCTTCCAGCGGACGGAAGGGGTCGTTCTTTACATCCAATGATCGAACAACCATTGGTGTACTAAGAGGATGACATTTATCCATTCGGAAAATTTTAAGTAATTTCCGTGTATATGTGGATTGGTGTAACAGGATACCACCCTTAAGGTGTTCGATCTGTAAGCCAAGACAATACTTTGTTTTGCCTAGGTCTTTCATTTCAAAAGTATTCTTAAGGCTTTCAGATATCCCAGTGATCTCTGCAGGAGATGCAATGAGATTTAAGTCGTCGACATAGACGGTGACTATAATGAATCCTGTTCCCGATCTTTTTATAAAGATACACGGGCATACTTTATCATTTGTGAATCCTTGCATAGCAAGGAACTCACTTAGTCTGTTATACCACATTTTCCCCGATTGCTTAAGACCATATAATGATCTTTGAAGCCTAACAGAATAGACGTCCCGAGGTCTATCTGCTATCTCTGGTGGAATTTTATATCCTTCAGGGAGTTTCATATAGATATCTTTATCTATATTGTCATATAGATATGCAATCACAATGTCC